TCCAGCTTACGTACATACGGCCATGCATGGTTTAATCCAACGAGTGCTAAGAGATGCAATAAAGCACAAAGTATCTTAACGGGCGGTGCTCAACTACTGCTCGCTGTCCCGCTCGGTAACGTTGTTGCAAGAGTAAGCTATTCGAGAAGTCTTATTGTTGCTCAATGCTTTGGATCCCTGTGAACTGTGGCTGCACACTGGGAAAAAAGAACTTCCATGATGGGATAATCCCGTGGGTACCCATCTGGAATGTGTAGCGAGATGGGTTGTGTGTATATTTTGGGAAGATTAGGGGCATGGGTACAGGTACGTGAAAGACGTTCACGAATTTATGGGTCGATGCTTTAGGTCATACTACGCACTGTTACTGCCTACGCTTGTTTAGTCATAATTAGCTTTATTCACGGTACTTCTGCTAATGTCAAGTAAAACAGTAAGTTTGGATGCAAACTACTGGAATTCTTCCATAAATTAAAACTAAAGAGCTGGAAAATCCAAGCGGGTGTGTAACGGGCGGTACAGCCGATTAGGAATGGGTCGTGCGCGGGTATGGGCACATCTCCATGGGTGTTGGGCAGATTGTGTGAAGGAATCCCCACCCGGGAAGACGGCTGTGCTGGGAGTGGAGCGGGCTGCAGCCTCTCTCGTCGGGCTACATGTGCAGCCTCGCGGGACGTGATCTGAATCGGGCGGCCTGCAGCCGTCTGGCTGTGCTCTCCCGGCGTCCGCTCGATGGTCTGACACCACTATGAACCCTGACTGGAATCTTGGTGTTGGCCAATGCACCGGCTTGTAATGCTAAGACAGACACAGCATCATTGCAGGCTCACTTACTACGCCACCTTTGAAACTGCAAAATAACTCGTGCGTGAATGAAAAAAAAGACCAGCATCAGACGCTTTCAGTATGCACTTTGTTTGATCCAATGTGATCCGGGTTGAGCACGGCCCTAATTAGCCGACTCTTTTAGCCGACAGCCCGAATTAGCCCGCCATACCAAATTTATCGTAAGCGAAGATTTTTATATGATATCAACGCTCACCTTACGAATATTTTCGCTCTCACACAGCTCTGTGACACCTGTTGCATGTCACTCGTCACACACGTGGTATTGCAGAATTTCACCACAACATTTTTGGATATGGCCTAATGGCAATTCTGGATTTCAGTTTTCAGATGATGTACGCCGACTCCTTCCTGACTAGAGAAGAGTACCGGAAGATGTTCGACCACCGTCTGTACGACAAGGTCCGTCGCGAGTACGACTGCCTGAGGGCATTCCCCGAGGTGTACGACAAGGTCAACAGGGCAGCCCGCGACTGACCTCAGGTCATCCTGAGCCTGTCAGGTCGGCCGGGGCAGTAGCGCCATCATCTTCACCACCGAGCAAGCCTCACGTTCGTTTTATCTCCATGTGAGAAGTGCACAGCTTTTGGACTGCCAGTTAAAATATACGCTCAAGTTTTCAGTATGCTCGAATTTCGCCCAGACGGCCTTAAGGATAGCATGTCGTCGGACTCAAGAAAGCAATTATATATATATATCTTTATATATATATATATATATATATATGTATATATATATATATACACATATACATATATATATATACACATATATATATACATATATATATATATACATATATATAGTCACATCGATAATCTAAGCGTAAAGAACGTTACATAAAATCGAGCTGCACACTGCTGTTTTTTAACGGTGGTTTTATGGCGCTTGAGCATGCGTCCACCAGTGGCATAAAATAAGTTTCTTGTAGAATGCAACGCTACACACTCCGGGCTGAGGTGAGCGCGGTCATGTGTTTCGTGATTAGCTGCATTACCTCAATTTTCGCGGGGGGATTGCCGTTGGATAATGACTTCAAAAATGTGTATATTTCAACAGCTCTATGAGAAGCTATGTGATTGAGCTCAGCTCAACTATGATGGAGCAAAACGTCAGCTGGCATGAGTCGAAATGGCCCTGGCGCTGGATTCCTTTTACAAATGTACTTAGTGAATACGTGGTTACCGAATTCTTTGAAGGCGGCCATCCGTCCAGCGTCCAGTCTGCACCTCCTCTCAGCACACCGGTCAGCATTCTCGCGTGTTTATTGACTGAGGGGCATGGCACAAATGAGTCGGGCAGCGGCGTTCGCTGCGCACCGGGACACGTCTACTGGAAGCGGGTTTGCGGGTTGTACTCGGGCAGCGGCTGCGGCACGGGCGCGCCGGCGCCGGGCACCACCGGCGGCGGGTACTGGGTCGGCGGCGGCGTCGGCAGCACACCCTGCAGGGCCTCCGGGTTCAGCACGGCGAAGCCGTTCTCGTCGGCCACGTAGGTGATGGTGACGACGGCGCCGTCGTCGAGCGGGTACTCGATGGTGCCCTCCTTGACGTAGCTGCCCGTCTCGGGCTCGGCTCCGGGGTAGGAGGTGCCGCGCTCCTCCTGAGCGATCCCGTTCTCGGTGCGGAACCTGTGGACAGACACGCAGGTGCGCGCGGTCAGAGGCGCCCAGCTACCACGGCCAGTTGCCAGGCAAGAGACAGGGGCTGGTGGCGGCTCCGCGCAGACGAGGGAGAAGGCTGCATGAGGCACTGTGAGACGGCTGATCCATGTACGCGGTGGGTCTCTGTGGAGACGGCTGACCGAGTCGCACGGGACACGATGGACACAGCTGACCTAGCTATGTAAGACATGGTGTAGAGTGCTGAGTACGTAACATGGGATACGGTGTAGAATGCTGAGCAAGTCATATGGGACATGGTGTAGAGTGCTGAGTAAGTCAAACGGGACACGGCATAGAACGCTGGGCAAGTCACATGGGGCATGGCTAGAGTGCTAAACTAGCCACATGGTACATGGTGGAGGCAATTGAGCCGGCTACACCGCACATGGCGGAGGCAGCTGACCGAGTAACATGAGACACGCTGGGGACTGGACCAAGTCAGACTCTACACTGTAGCGACAGCTGACTAGGTCATGTTGGTCACGGTACAGACAGCCGAATCGCACGGACCACCCCAGAGACAAACAACTTCAGCATCCCTTCGATAGTGTAGCACCACATGGGCGATGTGGGAATCCAACCCGGCCCACAATGCGCATATGACATGAGGCTCCGATGCTTTGCCCGGAGCTCGCGTTAGCAAGAGGTCGTGGTTATTGTCTGCAAGCTTGAAGATGCTTTTTGAAAGGCTAGACTGGGTGCTCAACGATGGAAAACGGAGATGTGATTCAGGCACAAGGAGAGCCGCCAAGTTAGTCCGCAATCTTCTATACAAATACGCTGCTTGAAACATACGAGCAAAGGCGACAGAGCCTGTGTGAAATCATAGATTGTGCAACCTCGTCGGTGCACAGCGTAATCTAGCAGCTGTACAGATGAAGGAGGACGTAACTCAGCTACCCCCCGGCTCATCTATTCAGTGGGACGACTCCACACCCGGTGTGGACACGAGACCGAGGGTTTACGAGGACCCAGGGTCTGCGGGGACTCGGTGTGGATATGGGACCGAGGGCCGTGAGGACTCGGTAAGGATGTGGGACCGATGGTCGTGAGGACCCGGCGTGGACATGGGAACGAGAATCGTGAGGATCTGGTAAGGATATGGGAACGAGAATCGTGAAGATCTGGATATGAAACTGCCGGCGTGAGTCTTCCTTCGATGATCCGCTCGGTTATCGCGCTGGCGGTCCGTGTGGATCCGTGTGGATATAAGCAACACTGATGCTCCATGTGGAATCGGCATGAACATCGAACTGGTGACCTGTGTACATCCAGCGCAGATACGGGACTGACGTGGACCTGGCGTGGATGAGGAACTAACGGACTGTGTGAATCATGCGCAAATCAGAGACCACTGAGAAACCGCGTTATGGATGTGGAGCCGACAGAATGGATGGATGGACAATGGTGGATGGGCATTCCAAAGTAGTCGAATGACTCGGATGACCACTTGCCGGACACTGGCAATATAATGACTAAGTTGCGCGTCCGGGAAACAGAAGGTAACGGGTTTAATTTTCTGCGGCGCCCGCCCTTCCTGCCAGGGTGAGGCAGGCGACGCCACATAGCCTGAGCAGCTAAGTGCGTTGTTAAGTGCCAATGACAATGATGACCACCTTGCTCGACATCTTCAATAACATTTCCATCGCTAACATGCAGCAATGCCCACGATGGCGGCCGACCGTCCGGCCCTTGAGCTGCAACTCACTGCTGCGAGTAGCCGCCGTCCTCGGAGGCCTGGTGGAGCTGCTCCAGGATGCGCGCGTCCCTGTCCGGGTGGAGCGGCTGCAGGCCGTCCAGCTTCTCCGGCCGCGGCGCCGCCCGGCACACGGCCACCAGCATCAGCGTCAGCAGCTGCAGCAGGGATAGACGCCGAGTTAGCTGGCGGCGGCGCCGACACGGTCAGAGACGGCGGAGAGGCAACAGCCGCGAGAACGTCGGTACGGACGTAAAGAGAGTCTGGGGCATTGGTTCGCCGAAGCTGTGCAGTAATTTGTCATGAGGGTGCCCAGGAGTCCCCAGCGTAGCTAAGCCATAATCCTAGTGCAACGGTATAAGCAGCAGCATGTATGAAAAAGGACGGCAAGTATCACAAACTTTGAGAGATTTTTAAGAATCTCTTATTGGCCCATGTACACAGGCATAGCAGGAAAGCTTTCCGTCGGAGGGCTCCTTGCATTGCTTTTTCAAATCCGAAGTACGTTTTTCCAAGTATCCTTCAGAAGAGGCTCAAAAAGCGGTAGGAACAACCTTGCAGGCTAGGCTGTGGTATTACTGGCTCCCAGAGCCACACTAACATCACGCCTCTGGCACTGAGCATCTCTACCACAGAAGTGCTTCGACGGGCTCGCCGCGCGCTCTTGCCTATCCACCACACTCGCCGCACCCGGCACCTCCTCCGAATCTCACCAGCTTCATGGTTGCGAGTCTCGAGCACGTGACTGTACCGTCGGAGCGCGGCGGCCGGGTGTTTTATAGTGGCGCGCGGCGGCGGCCGGCGGCCCCGGCCGGGTCACGGTCGCTCCACGTCTCTCGACGCCGGGGAGAAAGGTCGCCGGCCGCCGCTGCACCGTGTGCAGAACCAGCGGCGGCCGCCGCCGCCGCCGCCGACCCGCCGCGCTATGGTAATCGGCGTTGCGACAGCGCCGCCACGGAGCGACGCCCGTAGGCTGGGGAGGCGACCCGCCGCCCACGTGTCCGCCGGCCGGGCCGGGCCGGGCCGCCCCCATCGCCACGCCGGGCCGGCGGGGGTGGACGGCGCAGGCGGAGCCCGACTGTAGCCGGGCGGGCCGGCGCGCTGTCGGGCCGTCTGGGGAGCGGGTTGGACACTGGTGCCGTCACGCGCGGCTTCTGGCCACGCACAGCTGGGTGGAGAGGGATGGTCGGGCTGCCCGATGCTCGCTGGGTGGCAGACTACCCGCTGCTGCCGCGCCGCGTGCACTGATGTCACGAGCACCGGACATGACATCTGCTGTGTTATTGCTCACGTTATGGATGGGCCAGGTGTTGACCATGCTTTTGTGTCATGGAATGCATCATAATCATCTGGCGCGTTTTTGTTCAGTTACAACATTGGCAACGTCCATGTGCATTGACGGTCGCTGCCGCGTGGCGTTTGGGATTAACCTGAGAGAAGAATAGGTAGCTGAGGGAAAGTTCTATTCAACTGGCTTCAGGGTTGTCAAATTTCGTAAATTATTGGGGGGACCAAACCAAAAGCGTCACAAGCTGTCCCCCATTTTTTTCTCACCGGATGTAACCCACTCGATTTCGACTTAAGGCAGTATATGTTTTTAATCTTGTATGATTTACAGAAGTTCTTAATTTAAGCAGCATAAAAGTCATGCAGGGTTGGATCCAGGGAGCAGACACTGGACGCACGAGTTTCTTCTGATCGGCAAGAGAAGGCGCCCCTTTAGAGGCCACCTTAGGGTGCCGATGGCGCTCTTCTATGGCTGTCAGGGAGGCGGCACACATTTTGGTTGTGGGGACGGTAACGAGGTTAGCCACCAAGCACTTAGTAATCCCCATATTCCAGAGCTTTTCACTTTAACCTCGCAAACCATTGCGTGTCTTATGGCGCTAGGTATGTGAAGTTTATTGCATCGTTTATCCGCTCAGCTATTCCGATTTGTATCTGATGATGAAAGCAACCATGACTTTTTATTATGAGCGTGATACGAGACGCCACTACGCCGAAAGACCAAAAGAGATAGCCTTCGTGTTAAGGTCATATTTTACCTGCGTGTTTTGCGATCTCATGTACCTTATAAATTGTACCAATTTTGTCGCGTAACGCGGATCTGGCCTTTAACCTGGCGAGGCGCTTGTTTGACAAATGCGAGCTTGCTGAGACAGCATGCATTGCTGTCGGCGTGCTTAACATGGGTATTTTGCCCCGACTACGTATAGATCTCCCGTTGCCGATTCCTGGGCATGCCAGATCTGTGATCTTTACTTTGTGATCGCGTGCTCCGAAGCAAGAACACCTCACGTGCTCGGGCTCTGGAAACAGCATCGATGAAAAATGTTAACATCCGAGGTCACCCGACATTGGCATTGACCTTGAATGACCTGGACCCGCACGATGCATGATATGGCTTTCGCTACGTATTATTTTGTTCCTGTGACGGTGCCAATGGGGGTTTCAGGACTGTGTGTCGGTAAGTTTTTCCTAAAATCTAAAAAAGATTCTCGATAATGCTTTTGGTGTCTTGCTGAATGGAAGTTTTAGATAAATCAAACACCTTTAGTCACGATATGTTATTGTCCACATGGTGTTGCCAGAATAAGCTGGCATCGGTTTTCAGTGATTCATCTGCCGTTGGCTTTGGCATCGAGCTCCAAGACTTGAAGAACAGCAGGATTAATTCCTAGATCTTCGTGAACACGTTGGCTCGGTGGACAACGTAGCTGTTTCTCAACAGGTTAATAGCAGCTGGTCTCCTGGCTGCCAAAGGCAAGACCGCACATCATCTCTTAGTATGACCTTTCCGGGAACGCCTGCTTTTGGCCACGGTCGATTCAAACACGCATGCCACTCTACCTTGGAATCAGAAGGGGTATTATTTACATTGTTCGCTCCAAATCACGAGTTTCGCAATGGGTTTCGAGCTAATATCTCATTGGGCACCGTTAGCGTTGGAGGTCGCCTGCCTGTTACGACAACTCGGATGATCATCTTCAGCACCGTCATCTTCTTTTCAATTCATCTTAATTTCCCTGCCTTGTATTCGTCATCAGTTGTTCGTGCTTGTCGTCCCGTCGCCCTTGGAGTGCCGGAACTGCCTCGGCAGCCACCCACTAGTTACGGCATATTTTCTCCGCAGCCAACGCTGGCAGCCGGGGGCACCTGGTCGGGCCTGGCGGGCGCCGAGGCCATCCAATTAAAACCGAGGCTGTGCCAGCCGCGCGTTAGTGAGAAACACTCGTTGGTGAAGTGCAGAGAATACAACCCCGTCTGCCAATGCGACTCAGTGTTATATTTTCAGCTTTCGGGTTGGAAGAGCTTGAGGGTGGGGAGATAAATCATCGCGTCCAAACCGAACCGCAAAGGGTTCTGTCGGCTTTTTGTTGAAGATTACTGTTGTAGCAAGCTGGCATGATGGACTGATTATTTATCATCGAGTTATAGATGCCTTATAATATTTGCATTTGGCCTGCAAGGTATGGGATTGGCAACACTATATAGGTAAGTAGCCGAAGAGAAAAATACCTAAGCGAGGACCCGTGCATGTAATATCTCCGGCCTCACAATATTCTCGATTACCCTAAGACCTCTTCGGTCCTGGGGTTAGAAGTAAGTTCAGACATGAAGATAGTTCTTTCGTTACGTCAAACTGTCATTTAGTGTCAGCTCTGCGCATCTTTATGGACGTTTGAATCTGCCAAGTCTGTTGAAAAGTGCAAAGATGAAATGACCTCTGGCTCTGATCCCAAAAACCGCCGGGGCGACAAACTGGCGTGAAACACCTTTTATGGTGTGCTTTATCTCCACTGAGTGTCATTACAATTGCGGCTGCCCTGGTCAAAGGTGCCTGTTTCAATCCATTGAACACACAACAAGTGACCCAACCGCACCGCAGCCAGTGTGGGATTCAAAGTAACGCAGCGAGCGATTGCACTTGGCACCGGCTGTTGAGACTATCCAGGTGAGACCTGAAGGGATCTGGATATGGATCTGGATCTGGGTAATCCCGAATCCTAGCCATTTCTACTATTAGATACCTCAGGTAGCCTACAGTGTTTCACGGGCTGATTTCACGCCCCGTGACCTAAATCATAAGTTCAAACGCCAGAAGGCAGGTCTGAGTGATCTATAGCCTGTACCAGAGCCATCACGAGCGCAGGTGTAGGCCGAGCGAGTCTTGACATCACTGACGTTAGCACTGACGTCACTGACGTCAGTGCTAACGTCAGTGACGTCAGTGACGTTAGGACTGACGTTAGTGCCGTTGGTTACACCCACCGGGACTTTAGCGCTTCAATGGTCCGGCAAGTCATGCCTTTGTAGGCTTAGGGTGTCAGTCGATTGCTATACCGCCATGAAATGCTCAGTAACAAGTGGAACATCATTTAAACGTTGGACTGCAGGGCCTTCAAGGTATTTAAATGCGATGTGTTTGACCAAGCGGTGTGGCTCTGCAACGTTGCAGTATCACAACCCTTTCACCACCCTACCTCATTAACATCGGAGAACATGGTTTGGAAACAGGACCAGATTTCCAGCTACCAAGCGTTGCAGTGTTATGCGAGTGAGCTCTAATGATGGAGAAAAAACGGACGACCGTAATGTCAAAAGTGCACGGAGATGTGTGCAGGCTGTCACGCGATGGTGACCGCGAATCGCCGATCCACCCGGTTTGAGGCATGACTGAGATGTCCGTGATGATATGATGATTCGGTTGATACAATCTTGGCAAGCTGTTGCAGTGCAACGGGGTTAACGGATGCGTGTGTATCGGGACTCGCCCCGGTCCAAATCTGGTGTTTGCCATCGGCAGGATTTTAGCTGAGGTAACAACGGTGGTACGTATGCTATGCGGCACCTCGCCTTCGTCGGTCAACTTGGCACGTCGATGCATACTAATGTCTCGCTGGTATTTGCAAACTGCACGTTTGACATTCCAGCACAGCTTCGACACCCCATCAGTTCTGAAGCTTCGGCCACATGAGGGAACTGCAACGCTCAGAGAGCTGCACGTGATGGCTTGAAATTCGGCTCATATTAAAGTGTGGTAAATCTGAACAGTCACGACCACGAAAGAATACCGGAGCGTCTTCAGTCAACCGAAACCTTAACCGTCGATGAGTCATAGTTAAGTCGAAGCGTGCACTATGTAAATGTGAAGTTGCCGACCAGCTTGCAGGTCTCAATATCGCCCTCCCATCGCCCCTCCCCCTCCCCCTCCTCATCACCCCCACCCGGGACAGCAGCAGGGGTACAGCCGAGTCGGAGTTTTGCTGCGACGCTAATGCAGATTAACGCTCTGAAGCCGCCCGCTCCAGAGGCCGCGTGGCTGTCGCGAGCCGGTGGTCACGGCCAGACGTGAGCGCGCGCGGGCCGGGTGAGGACATCGGCGCCGAGCCTCCACACGGGGCGCCAGAGACGGGCTGACGGGGCGCGGAGTTAACGGCAGCCCCGCCCCGGCCCGCCGCCGGCCGACGGACCGCCAGCGGCTCTGACCTCTCACCCAGCCGGAGCTGGGGCAGCGTGACCTCACAACGGCCACCCGCGGCCAGCGCTCGGCACCAGCCAACAATCCAAATCATGTGAACCGAAAAAAAACGAGTGCGGTTTACCCAAAGCATAAAGTGGTGGAATATGTGTAACATAGGCTCGAGTTTGGGACAACCGGTTAGACTTCCCAAGAGCAATAAGCGGCATCACTTCCTCTAGTATCGCCCTGAAACATCACCTCTCGCAAACGGCCGGGCGGTGCGCCTCACGCAAGCATAGCGGACGGGGTGATACAATACACACATGCTGAA